TGATTTTTTTTTCCTATTTATTGATGAATTTTTTTTTCCTATAAAAAAATTATTGATGAAATTTTTTCCTATAAAAAAAAAACATTGATGAAAATTTTTTCCTATAAAAAAAATTATTGATGAAAATTTTTTCCTATAAAAAAAATTATTGATGAAAATTTTTTCCTATAAAAAAAATTAGTGAATTAGTAAATTTTTTCTTATAAAAAAAATTATTGATGAACATTTTTTCCTATAAAAAAATTATTGATGAATTTTTTTCCTATAAAAAAATTATTGATGAATTTTTTTCCTATAAAAAAATTATTGATGAATTTTTTTCCTATAAAAAAATTATTGATGAATTTTTTTCCTATAAAAAAATTATTGATGAATTTTTTCCTATAAAAAAATTATTGATGAATTTTTTCCTATAAAAAAATTATTGATGAAATTTTTTTCTATAAAAAAATTATTGATGAAATTTTTTTCTATAAAAAAATTATTGATGACATTTTTTTCTATAAAAAAATTATTTATGATTTTTTCCTATAAAAAAAAATTATTGATGATTTTTTCCTATAAAAAAATTATTGATGAATTTTTTCCTATAAAAAAAATTGTTGATGAATTTTTTTCCTCAAAAAAAAAAAAAATGTTGATGAAAATTTTTTCCTATAAAAAAAAATTGTTGATGAATTTTTTTCCTACAAAAAATATTTTGATGAATTTTTTTCCTACAAAAAATATTTTGATGAATTTTTTTTCTATAAAAAAATTATTGATTAAATTGTTTCCTATAAGAAAATTATTGATGAAAATTTTTTCTATAATTATTGATGACATTTTTGTATAAAAAATTACTGATGAAATTTTTTTCCTATAAAAAAATTACTGATGAAATTTTTTTCCTATAAAAAAAATTACTGATGAAATTTTTTTCCTATAAAAAAATTACTGATGAAATGTTTTTCCTATAAAATAATTATTGATGCATTTTTTCCTATAAAAAAAATTATTGATGAATTTTTTTCCTATAAAAAAATTGTTGATGAAAATTTTTTCGTATACAAAAATTATTGATGAATTTTTTCCTATAAAATATTGTTGATGAAATTTGTTTCCTATAAAAAATTGTTGATGAAATTTTTTCCTATAACAAAAATTGTTGATGATTTTTTTTCCTATAAAAAAATTATTGATGAAATTTTTGCTATAAAAAAATTATTGGTGATACATAAAAAATTATTGATGAAATTTTTTTCTGTAAAAAAATTATTGATGATTTTTTTTTTCTAAAAAAATTATTGATGAATATTTTTCAAAAAAAAATTTCATAATTTTTTATATTAGTTTTTTATTATTTCTCAATTCTATTCAAAATTTTACCAAAGATTTCCATACAATCCCCTTTTTTAAAGCGTTAAGAGTTGCCAATCGCTTTGTGTGAAAAGATTTTGGAAAGAAATATCTTCAAAAACTGCCGGCAACATGATTTGATTTGTCATACAAATCTCTCTCACCTCTATAGACAAACAAATCAACGTCAATAAAATAAACAATAAAATTTGCTCTTCTCATCAAAGTTTTGTTGTTGTTGTTCAGTGTTTGGCTAAACGCAACGATCTTTTGCGTTTAAATCGTGTTAGCGTTTACGATATTGGAGACAGACTGGCCAACCTGACAGCCTGCCTACCAGCCAGCCAAACAAACTAAAGCTTTATGGCCAACACCGATGACTGTGGGTTACCAGTGTTAATATAACCTTCGTTAGCATAGCAGCAGTTGACGGGATTTTTAAAGTGACGCATAAAACAAAAACTTCAATTAAGTAGATAGATAGACGATCGAATGATCAGATCTGAACATATCGATTGCACGAACAATAAAATAAAATAACTGATTAAGTGTGACAAAACAGAATTTTAAGTGTTTCCAGCTAAAAGACAATCCTCCACCTACGATAAAAAATAAACAACCATTAAAATGGAAATTTAATTCGAAAAAAAACCATTTTGAATTCTCATTTTCATTGACAACAACCACCAGACAACTTGCCTGTGTTCTCTCATTGTGTGTTTTTTTTTTGTGAATTTCCTCCAACAACAAGTTCAACAACTTTGGTTTTGTTTACAAGCGCATGCAGGCGGAAAAAGGGAGAAAGGAAAAGCTAACAAAAATTTTTTTATTGTCTCCAACTTTTTTGTGATTTTATTAATAAAACGACTGAATTTAAAAAAAATAAACGTTTTTTTCAAGCAGGTGTTCAAAAAACAAACCTGTTGTCAAAAAAAATATCATAATTACCCCCCACCATCCCCATCATGTTCCCCAATAATAAAATTGCCAATAATCGTCATCTGTTCCCTGAAAAATTATCAGAAGATCCACTGCCTCCACTCCATCGTCTGGAGGAACAGCAGTTTGTGGGTTCGTCGAAAAACGGTGTCATTTTTGAAACTGATCTTAAAAATTCCACAACAGATGGCATGGAAAATCTCTCATTGATGGATAAAATTCATCCTTCAATGCGCACCCTAAGGTATTCAATGGTGATTATTTGAAAAAAAAGAATCATAGTTTTTTTATGGTTGTATTGTTCAAAACCAAAAATTAAAAAAATATATATTTTTTTGTTTATTTTTTTTGAATTTGAGGGACGGTGTATGGAGACGATGCTGCCATTAGAGGTGTGCTTTAACCTTCTGCTGGCTTAATTTTTATCTTCTTCTTCTTCTTCAAAAATCATCATCTTTATTATGATTGTATGTACTTAGTTTTAAAATGTCAATGAAATTTCAAAATAGTGTTTTGTTGACAATAATGACTATGTTGGTGTGAGTATCGAAGTGCTCTTTACACACCTCCAAAATTTATCTTCACTTCTCTTTTTTGTATTTCTAAAAAAAAAATTATTGATGAATTTTTTTCTAAAAAAAATTATTGATGAAATTTTTTTTTTATAAAAAAAAATTATTGATGAATTTTTTTTCTAAAAAAAAATATTGAAGATTTTTTTTCTAAAAAAAAAAAATTTTGATGAATTTTTTTTTTCTAAAAAAAAATTATTGATGATTTTTTTTTCTAAAAAAAAAAATATTATGAAAAAATTTTTTAAAAAAAATATTGATGATTTTTTTTCTATAAAAAAAATTTTGATGAAATTTTTTTTTAAAAAAAATATTGATGAAATTTTTTTCTAAAAAGAAAAATTACTGATGAAATTTTTTTCTAAAAAGAAAAATTATTGATGAAATTTTTTTCTATAAAAAAATTATTGATGATTTTTTTTTTCTAAATTTTTCCCAAAAAAAAAATTATTGATGAAATTTTTTTCTAAAAAAAAAATTATTATGAAATTTTTTTCTAAAAAAATTTTTATGAAATTTTTTTCTAAAAAAAAAAATTATGAAATTTTTTTCTAAAAAAATTATTATGAAATTTTTTTCTAAAAAAAAAATTATTATGAAATTTTTTTCTAAAAAAAAAATTATTATGAAATTTTTTTCTAAAAAAAAAATTATTATGAAATTTTTTTCTAAAAAAAATTATTATGAAATTTTTTTCTAAAAAAAATTATTATGAAATTTTTTTCTAAAAAAAATTATTATGAAATTTTTTTCTAAAAAAATTATTATGAAATTTTTTTCTAAAAAAAATTATTGATGAAATTTTTTTCTAAAAAAATTATTGATGAAATTTTTTCTAAAAAAAAAAAATTATTGATGATAACCTGGCAACCTTGACATAAGACGGCGGTTCTTTACCATCTGTTGCTGTTATCTTCCACTTTTGGCAAATACCGGTTAGTCCTTTTGGGATTCCCGGTCTTTGCGGAAGATTCCGACTCAGCACTCGTCTTCCTGATATCAGAGCCATTTTCGTCTGCTCTCGTCAATGGATTCTGGTGGCAGTCTCCTTTGACGTTGGTTTGACTTAGCTTTCTCTTACTATCGGTCGACGGCAAGCTCTTTTTCTTTTTGGCAGATTTTTTCGCCTCTCATCCGGAAAAAATTTCTTCGCCGTTTTTTTCGCAGAAAAAAATTTTTGGCTTATTTTTTCTGCATCTCTCCCTTTTGTTCAATTTTTTGTCGAATTTTTTTCTATGCGAAAAAATTTTTGTCGAATTTTTTTCTATGCGAAAAAATTTTTGTCGAATTTTTTTCTATGCGAAAAAATTTTAGTCGAATTTTTTTCTATTAGAAAAAAAATTTTGTTGAATTTTTTTCTATGCGAAAAAAATTTTTGTTGAAATTTTTTCCATGCGAAAAAAAATTTTTGTTGAATTTTTTTCTATGAGAAACATTTTTTTTTGAATTTTTTCTATGCGAAAAAAATTTTTGTTGAATTTTTTTCTATGCGAAAAAAATTTTTGTTGAATTTTTTTCTATGCGAAAAAAATTTTTGTTGAATTTTTTTCTATGCGAAAAAAATTTTTGTTGAATTTTTTTCTATGCGAAAAAAATTTTTGTTGAATTTTTTTTATGAGAAAAAAAATTTTTGTCGATTTTTTTTTCTATGCAAAAAAATTTTGTTGAAATTTTTTCTAAGAAAAAAATTTTTGTTAATTTTTTTTCTTTGAAAAAAAATTTTTTTGTCGAATTTTGAATTTTTTTCATGAGAATACAATTAATGTTGTGTTCACCTGAAACAAATAACGCAAATCTGTCACGGATACCTTTTTATTGCGTTCCGATCATTAATCATACTCACATTGTGTATTGTTTCCTGCTCTATATAAAAATTCTGGCAATGTCATCATCATCATCTTGAAATGCCGGAATTCAACAGAATTCAAACAAAATAACTGACCTTTCTCTCTCTGAAATGACTAATTTTCATTGTTTGTTTATGGCGACTACAATATTTAAAACAATGGATTAAGCCAAAAATAAACATATCTCTCAATATATTTAAATTACGACACATTATGGAACAGTTCCGAACAATCGGAACAAGAATCTCTGTCTTTTTTCAAAATCATTATTTAATTTCCTATTATTTTCTTGATTTCCTTGCAGGCGCACACGAAGTCTAAACGCTCCCTCGCCATTTCAACAATTCGGACCATGTGGACGCATTATGAAAAATCCAGCCATGGTGATGCAAATACAAGATCCGGCCAGTCAGCGTTTGACCTGGTACAAGCCACCTCTGACGGTGTTGGTAATCAAAAAGGTACGAGACTCCACTGTGATGGCACCATTTGTCCAGCTGGTCGAATGGTTGGTACAGGAGAAACATATGGTGGTATGGGTTGAATCGGCGGTACTCGATGATCTCTCACTGCAGGAGGATAAAAGATTTCAGAATATCAAAGAGAAATTAGTTACATTCAAGTAAGTTGGCAACACTGTTTTCAAATCAAATTCAAAACAAAAAAATAATTTTATTTTTCTCTCCTTTCCCCCCTTTAGAGATGGCCGTGATGATCTTACCGATCGCATTGATTTCATTGTTTGCCTTGGCGGCGATGGCACCCTGCTATATGCCTCTCTGCTGTTCCAACAGTCGGTGCCACCGGTAATGGCTTTCCATTTGGGCTCTTTGGGTTTTCTTACACCATTCCAATTTGATAATTTCCAAGAACAAGTAACCAATGTGCTGGAGGGTCATGCTGCCCTTACGCTGCGCAGTCGTCTGCGTTGTGTCATCTATCGGAAAAGTGATCGCCGCAAGGATTCCGATTGCCAACAGAATCAAATGAATTGTAGTATCTCAGGTGATAGTGGAGTGTCGATGGATTCCTGTGGTGGCGGTGCAACACATAATGCCAGTGGCAAGAGTGGTAGCCGGGCTCCGTCAACAAATATTTTGGTGAGCTTTTGGAATACCTCTCAATGTTCGTAAACTAATTTTGTTTTTCCTCAGGTCCTCAACGAAGTGGTCATCGACCGCGGCCCCTCACCATATCTCAGTAATATCGATTTGTTTTTGGATGGCAAATATATTACCTCGGTCCAGGGTGATGGTTTAATCGTTAGCACACCCACGGGCAGTACAGCCTATGCTGTGGCAGCTGGTGCCTCAATGATCCATCCATCAGTGCCCGCCATTATGGTAACACCCATTTGTCCACATTCGTTAAGTTTTCGTCCTATTGTTGTACCTGCTGGTGTTGAACTTAAGGTAAATATCCTGCCACAAGCTAATATAAACGAAATTAGATCGTCGTAGAAAATACTCCATAGCAGAAGTAGTTAGACCAATAAAAATCGTTTCTAATGGACCTTAAATAGGTGAAAATTTCCTTTAGTCTCAAATTATACCCGAAAAGTAAAAAGAGTCAAACTTGTTTACTTCCCACCATGAGTAGAACCCATTGCCATCATTGGAAGATATTTTTATTATTTTCCTGCTGACCTCTGGATGCCAAAACTCGGTCAGAACCCTCATATGGAGGCATGAACTACATTACAAAATTCTGCCCGTAGGTTTCCTTAGGCTTTGAGAAACCTAAATACAAAGTTTGAGCTACTTTGTTTCGAAAATGTAGCTTGAGTCCTCACAATACCTAGAATCGCTTAGCACCCTGATATAGAGACATGAACTAACATTGAAATTTTTCTGTCGGTAGGTTTATTTAGCCCTTGGGAAATCTCTATGTCTAATTAGAGCCACTTCGGTTCGAATATTAAGGCAGGGGAGCTTTTAAATACCTAAAATCGGTCATTAGCATTAAAAAATTTCTACCAGTAGATTTATTTAGCCTTTGAGAAACCTCTATGCCTAATTAGAGCCACTTTGATTCGGAAAATGAAGCAATGGGCTTCTAAATACCAAAAATCGGTTGGAAGTCTTATATAGAAGCATGGACTACATTGAAAAAATCTGCAAGTAGGTTTATATAGCCCTTGAGAAACCTCATTGTTTAATTTGAGACACTTCGGTTCAGGAAATGAGGCAGGGGTGCTTCTAAATACCTAAAATCGGCCAGAACACTTATAAAGAGTATGAACCAACATTGGAATTTTCTCCCAGAAAGTTTATTAAGCCCTTGAAAAACCTCTATGCCTAATTAGAGCCATTTTTATTTCCAAAAATTTTTCCGGGAGGCTTCGAATCGGTCAGGACCCTAATAAAATATTGAAATTTTGTTTTGCCAGTAGGTTTCTTTAGACTTTGATAAACCTTTATGCCAATTTAGAGGTACTTCGGTTCGAAAAATGAGGCAGGGTGGATTCGAAGTACCTAAAATCGCTTAGGACCCATATATGGAGGCATGAACTATATAGCAAAAATTCTGCCAGTGGGTTTATTTAGCCCTTGGGAAACCTCTAAGCCTAATTAGAGCCATTTTTGGTTCGGAAAATGAGGCAGGGAGGTTTCAAATACCTAAAATCGGTCCGGACCCTTATCTGGAGGCTTGAACCAACATTGAGAATATTTGGCAGTAGATTTATATAGCCCTTAGGAATACTCTGCTTCATTACAGTAATTTTTGGTTCGGAAAATGAGACAGGAAGGCTTCGATTACCTAAAATCGGTCAGGACCCTTATATAGTTCGAAAAATGAGACAGGAAGGCTTCGATTACCTAAAATCGGTCAGGACCCTTATATAGAAACTTGAACCAGCATTGACAAATTTCTGTCAATATGTTTCTTCAGCCTTCAAGAAACTTAAATGCCAAAATAGAGCCACTTCGGTACGGAAAATGAAACCAAATTTTATTATCAGGACCTCAAATGTCTAAAATCGGTCGGAACATTCACATAGAGCTCATATCAGTAGGTTTCATTGTCCTTTGAGAATCTGAAAACCCTAATTTTAGTCACTTCGGTTGGAGAATTAGGCTAAGGCCTTCAATATACCTGAAATCGGTCGGCACCTATATATGGGGGCCATATTTAAACATGGACGTACATCGAAAATTGTATACCACTAACCGTCCGTTTTTTATCCGTCTCTGGCTTAGGTCTTTTTCCTTATAGAAGAAAAAAATTGTCAGCCACGGCTGAAGTATTTTCTCACAGTATAGAAAAAAATTTTCGTTCAGCCCGATTTTTTCTCCCTCTAGAAAAGAATTCCCCATACCCGACTGAGGTATTTTCTCCCCGTAAAGAAAATCGTCAGCCCTGGTTGAGGTATTTTCTCACCGTATAGAAAAAAATCGTTCAGGCGGGTTTGAGTTATTTTTTTCGGCATAGAAAATATCCGTTCAGCCCTGCCTGAGGTATTTTTCCCCTATAGGAAAAATGAGGACGTTTCATCCTCATCCTATAAATCCCAGAAACTTTCCGACTAATGTTTTTTTATTTTTATCTCCCCAGATTTCCGTATCACCCGATAGCCGTAACACATCATGGGTCTCATTCGATGGACGCAATCGTCAAGAACTATTCCATGGCGATAGCCTGCGGGTGACAACCTCAATATATCCCGTGCCAAGTATATGTGCCCAAGATCAAATATCCGATTGGTTTGATTCCCTAGCCGAATGTCTACATTGGAATGTACGCAAGAAGCAAAAGTGTCTCGATGAACTATCCGACCTAACAGCATCGGGATCTGAAGATACCCTGGATGAATTAGAACGAGGCTCGGATTCGTTACTAGATAGTTAAAAATTCCATGAATAAAAAAACACAACAACAAAGCAATACATATAACAATTTCATTAGTTATACGAAATGAAAGAAAATTTGAGAATATTCATAACTGAAAAAACATAACCTATACATTGGTGTTATAGATAACAAAAAGGCTTATCATTGTAAGGAAAGCTTTCATTGTAAGCTTGTATATTTTCTTTTCTGTTTTTTTATTATTAATTATTAATTTGTTTATTTTATTTTTTATTAATTTTATTTTTTATAAAATATAGTTATAACAAAAATTAAAAAGAAAAAAACAATTGTATTATGTTTTTTTATATATAATAGGGAAAAAATTGTAATGAACAGTTGAATGAGTATAGAAATGAATATAACAAATTGTTGCCAATTTATTATTATAGTTTAATTGTAATTGTTTTAATCTTTACAATGAAAGATGATAACAAAAAGAAAAAAAACAAAAATAATATTTGTAAGCAAAAGAAAATAATATTATGTGAAAAAAGAACTCGTTGTTTAAGAAGCTCAAATTCCTAGATAATGGAAATGGTTTATATTATTATATATTATAAATATTATTATTGATTATGATTATTGTTATAAAAAAATTAAAAAACAAACAAAAAAGAGAACAGAATTCTTATTCGAAATATGCTTTCCTAGTATAATTTAAAGAATGCTTATATATATCCCCTATTAGCGACTTAATATTTGTAATACTCTCCTGAGCCTCTTCTTTGAAAATGTGTGAAATTGAATGAAGGGTTTCAACCTTTCTCAAATCAATCTTTTCTTAGGGACTCTAGGGGAGAAATCCGCAGCTAATTTGTAATGGATTTATTAAGAATCAATTAATGTTCCAAAATTTCCAAAAATGTCTACATTATCCGCATAATTTAATAATTACAAATATTGAGGAATTTGCTAGAAAAATATGGTGGATATTTTTTTATAATTTCCATATACAATTTCTATGAAAATTGAAGAAGTAGTAGTTATATATACGATTTAGTTTGTTAAAGAATATTATTGTTTTATTCCCCGATTCCAAATTGGTTGCTTGCGGTTTATGGCTTGTTTTCCATTAATCTATTTCCTCTATAAAATTGAAAAATTTTATCATTTTTTAGTACGGGAACATACCATATATTTCATTGGTTTATTGGTATTTACTGGAACCACTTCCATCTCTTTTTCTATTTTCCTCTTTAGTTTTTTTTCTATATCCCTTGCTTTGTCTTTCTTATATTCCTTTAAAAGTTTTTCTTCAATATCAACTTGGTTATTGGTATCTCCTGGAACCACTTCCATTTATTTTTTTATTTTCCTCTTACATTTTTTTCTATAAACCCCCTGATTTTCTTTTCCTATATTTCTCTATACTCTGTTTTACATCTACATCATCTTGGTTGTTTCTTTGCAAACCCCGGTGTTCTATTTTTGTATATAATGCAAATCTTTTCCTCAGTTGCTGCTTAATTTTTTCTTCTTAGATTTGTTTTATTTTATATATCATTACTTCAACCATTAATAAAAAACCAATAACAACAATAATAAAAAATAAAACAAAATATTATACAATAATAATTTTATATTAAATATATTATTAAAAAAACAAAACAGAAACAGACAACAAATATTTCAATATATATATTTACTTATACATATGTAGTAGGTCAACGTGTTTTTTTATTTTCTACTAAGTTTTACAATAAAATTTTTTTTTCTAAAAATGAACAAAAAACTATTAAAAATAAAAAAAATACTCCTGTTTTTAAAAAAATAATTACAAGCTGATTTTTTTTTTGTTTATTATTAGAAATGTATTTAAATCTCATACTAATATTAGAAAACAATAATATTAAAACACAATAATAATAAAAAGTTTTTGTAGAGGATCTGATGGGAGTCCTAATGCACCAGAGGAAGGTAGCCTTTATAGAACAATGGAAGGAAGTCTTTATAGACGTGCTGAAGGGAGTCTTTATAGACGAGCTGAAGGGAATCTCTATAGACGAATGTACGTTTCCTACTTTATAAAATAATTACTGTTAAATGAGGGATCTCTTGATTATGTGTAATACGAATATTCTCCATGGTGTGAAAGCACCGATCTCTATTAGTTGTACATTATCACACTATCTTGTTAATGTAAAATGATTGCTTAAGACCTATGTATGATCGTATAACTTAGCCTATCTTAGACTAATGTGTTAAAGAGAGAGAGAGAGAGTGCGTATGTGTACACATGGAGTGGGCAGACATTTTCAGACTCGACCTAGGTTTGGTAAAAATATGCATTTGTTTCATTCATTTTAATTGAAGCTTAACTAAAGAAAGTTATTTCAGCCGGGCTAAATTGAAGTTTACCTACGCAAAACCTAGTTTAGCTGGGCTGATTTCCTATATAACCAATCAACATTAATATAAATCTTTATAAGTGTTGACCTCAACAATTGAAAAGTAATGTTTTTTCCCATTTTTTGGATGCCAGACCTATCGGTCCAATCGAATTCAAATAGTAGCAAATTTAGTACCATTTAGAATTTTATTAAATTTAGTACCTATAAGTACAAAATTTTCAAAACAAAATTATTCCTTATTCCAAATTTCAGGATTTCAGATCTATATGAAAACAAAAATTCAAATTTAGTACACATTAATATAAATTTCCATTACTACCTACATCAAACAATGCAATAGAAATCTTATTAAAAATGTTCTGTATTTCAGCCCTATCGGTTCACCCAAATTCAAATTGTACCAAATTTAATACTATTTTAATAGAAATTTCCAAATTTTCTACAGTAATCCTAACTTCAAATTTAAGGATTCCAGCTCCATCGTTTCAACCAAAAAGCCAATTTTGCCTATTTAGTACACATATGTACGAATTTTCAAAACTACCTACATACCTCAATTCTACAATCCAGAAGAAATCTTACTGCCCAATTTCAGGATTATTTCGCCTTAATCTACATTTTACAAAATGTATATACCTAAATTCTACCTGTCGAAATCTTATTTTAAAGTTTCAGTGTTCCAGCTCTATCGTTTCACCTAAAACCTAAATTGTATCAAATGTAGTAACATTTCATGGTATAATAATAAAAGGTAACAGCAAGTGTTGTTGTACAAAAAACGATACAATAACCACATGGAAATTTGTTGTTGTAAGTTCTACTAGTGTCAACTCATTTGACAGAAAAATGTAAACAAACAAACAAATTATCATCAAATTATTTTTATTTTGAAAATAAATATTTTCGAATCCTCAAAATAAAAATTGAAAAACATGAATGAAAATCTATCAAATTTATATTTCTATCGCTTCCACATCTTTCCTATAATTGAGCCATTGCCATATATATGTGTAAAACATATGAAAATGCTGGGAATAGCGAGTTATTCCTTGAAGAAAGATTTGCTTCCTTAAACTTTCCCAGCAGGCAGATTGAGTAAATTGAATACAGGAGCACATTTAATAAAGAACAATTTCAAATTGTATCCGTTCCCAATTTTCCTGTTGGGTGATTTTTAAAAACATAATTTGTCAAATTCATATTGACACTAGTATTATGTTGGAATCAAATCAGCTGGGATTTGCTGTTACCTTTTATAATTGTACCATGGTAACATTTATTACTTTTCGTACACATAGGTGCATATTGCCTAAACTACCTACATATGCCAATACTACACTCCGAGTGTAGTGTTAATTTAAAGTTTCAGGAATCCAGCTTCATTCGTTCCTCTACATTAAAATTGTACCAAATTTAGTACTGTTTAGTATTTATCGTACACGAGAGTACACACTTCCAAAAATACCTTTTATTCCAAATTTAAGAGTTCTAGCTCTACTTATTCGCCAAATACATATTTAGTACTTTTCGTGTCGTTCTAGTACGCATTTCAAAACCCCTAGCCTTATGTGGCACCCATGCCATAAATGTGACACCTTCGGACTAATTTCAAGATTCTAGCTTCAGCCGTTTCGTCTGGGCGTTGATGAATCGTTAAGTCAGCCAATCACTTTACTCTTCAAAATAAACTCAATGGTATTAAAATTGAGCTTTGCCAATAAAAAGAATAATTCATTTAATCCACTTTAACTTTTTTAATAATTCGTTCCCATTATTTGTCTTTTCATCACATCATCCAATTAAATTACAATTACACTTATGTATAATGGCAACCCTATTATTATTCTCTCATTAGTTTGATTGACATTTCCATTGCAACAGGTTGCAAAAAACTTGTCGGCGGTTTCGCGAGCCGTGTTTTCGGTCGGTAGTTTCGGTAAATGTTTTAAGAAATGTGTTTTAATTGTAAAGTGAAGTGTAATTAATAGTTTATGAATCCTGGATTTTGGCTATTGTTTTACAAAAGTTGTAATTTAACGCCCAAAAAAGTTGTGCATACACTACATCTATTGCTCATCTATTCTTGCATCTCTTTCTTTGTTGTTGCCGACTTAAATGCCGATGTTACTTTGTGTGATCATTCATGCAGTCCCTTTGTGATTTTTCGGTAAGGTGTTGTTGTTGTCGTTTTTATTTTGATGGTCATGTCGACGTGTGTGTGTTTATTTCGTGTTTTCGTCGTACGTTTACGCATTCGTTGTCGTCTTCGCCTCAGTCGCAGTCGCTGCCGTCATCGTTCGTTCTTCTTCCTACAAACTGCAATTCTCTCTCATTTCGCAAGCTTTGGCAGTGGATCCTTGATGTCAAATGAGGTATCAAAGGTAAGTAAAATTGAATTAACGATTTTCTAATCAGAATCTAATGTGTCGTCAGGGATGGAAAAGTGTATACGTTTTGAATAATATCTAATGAAAATTGGTATGTACATTTTTTGGAACAAATCAGGGGATTTTTCTGTCATTTTTTAATCATTTTTCATATAATATAAAAATCTCCATCACAAGGTATATTAAATTTATCACTCCTTTTGCAACACATCGAAATATTCACCCTATAAAGTATTTATATACTTGATCAGAATAAATT